ACACTAAAAAAAATTATAGTAATCAAAACATTATGGTATGGGAATAAAGAGAGACACACCTAAATATTAGGTACCCAATATTTAAATTTCAGGGTCTTGATTATCGGTAGGAGATTGAAAAGAATGGCTTTACCTGCAGGCAGCAGATTTTGCAGGGATGTTTCGCAGACTTTACATCTATGCAGATAGCTTTACTCTCCTCTGCTAGAGTAGGGAGGAGTTGTACCCCCAGAACATTCCATATTCACAAGAGATAGATAAGCAACCAGGGTAGATAGTCATAAGGTAGATCCTGCTACCTTTTGGTGAGTCCTGTGAAGATAGTCCTAGCCACTTGCTTTGGAATATTGAATATATATCAAGACTGTTTTTAGCTGTAAGAATGTAACCAAGGGCCCTCCCTGGTGGTGCAGCAGGTTAAAGCACAACACTGTGAAGCTGGCCAAAACCTCTGCAGTGCAAGTTCGATCCCCAGCCCTGGAGGTGATCCACATGGCGCAGCAGACCTCTCCTGACCCGCCCACTGCTCCCCTCAGCAGTGTACTTCGTTGATCTGCCTGTTCTGTTTCCCATTCTGTCTCTGGTGAATCCTCTCACTGCCCCTGCACCTCTGGCCTGTACCTAAGTATTGTATGCCTAAATAAATCAATCTTAAAAAAAAAAGTAACCAAAACTTTCAAAAACTTCCATATTACGGAAGTTTTGCTCTTAGATAAGTAATGACATCTGAATGGCAGTTTCCGTCTTTGCTAATGGTTCTAGGCATGGCTGAATTATATTGGCCCCAGGAAGGTGAAATGAACAGGAATTGAGTCACATGTTTCTCTTTTCTATAGCTCCATATTCTCAGCCTTCATGGAGTAAGACATCTTTCTGGCCCGTATTCTTACCAAATTGGAAATTGTAGAAATGCAGAAATAGTTCTCAAGGAAAACGTAGGTATCCAGGCTGACAGCACCTTCAGTGCTGCCTAAGTCAGGATGTCTTTCTTTCCTTGGGAATACTGATTTCTAAGAGCCATGTGGCACTTTCTTCAACTTAAATACCTTAGAAACCCAGGTGTCTGTGGCCCCATGCACCATCCCCCATACATGTGTTAAAGGAGACAGATGGGGTCCCTAATGTCAAGGATATTTATTGCCTTTTAACAGAATGATGCAACTATGGAACCAGGTGTCTCCTTCGATGTTAGTTTAACTTGGATGTTAAGTAGTCAGATCTTGGCTTTTCTCTTGACTCCCTGGTCCCAAGAATGAAAGGCTTGAGGTGAAGGGATTAAGCTGGTGTTTTTTTCTTGTTGCATTCAGTCACTACTTTTCATGGTAGAATACTGGCAAGTTGCTAGACAGTTTGATTTCCTTGATGTTGCTCCATATTCACCTATTTCTGACTGAATAATTCCAGTGCCAATCACCAGCTTTCTATATTTATCAGCAGCTGCTTCAGTGATGTGGAAACAATTTGCTCAACAGCTGAAAAACATGAAGATGGAGAGTAGGACATTTTGTTCTTTGTAAAAGAACTCAGTTGGAATGAACATGCAGGAGTGAATAATCTAGTACAAATCTTTCTGTCTCTGCATCTTTTCCACTTTCCCAAGCATGATGTCAGGCTTGAGTGGAGAATAAGGTTTTGTCCAGATGAATGAATGGGCAGCTTCTGTGGATGGAATATTCTGCATTCTACTAAGAGGTTTGCTCACTTTATATCCTACAGTTTGGGATGCCAGAGGCTCAATCCAGCCTCTTCTCCCCGCCCTACTCTTCCAGCTGGCTGGTTTTAGAGTTTCACCATTCAGTGACTGATTCTCTATATAAAATTACCAGAATCAGTTGCAGTAATATTTCATGGGGCAGTGCAGGGACTGGTGGGCCTAAGAGATCCAGGATTCTACCTGTGAGGTCAGAGGACTGCCGGTCCACAGGCACTTTGGCTAAGTGGCAGTGATGAGTAATGGCCCCAATCTGAGAGGCCTTCACCTGGTGCCTGTTCACAGCAAGCCCTGGGTGCAGGATAATCAGTGTGGTCATTACTACTCTCAAAGTGGGTCCAAGTTTCTTTCAGAACTCTGGGATAGCTGAGTACTGACCTGCTCGTGAAGAAAGCGTGATGTAGAGTCATGAAACTTGCTTTCTAGTGCCAGCTGTGCTCCAGAGAGGGAAAAGGGGAGCCTTATTGAGCACTTCAATGGACTCAACCTCCTGAGTATTACACAAAGCCCTTCAAAGGGGAGGTTATCTCTCCTGCTGCATGTAGCAACCTGGGGAGAAGGGGAAGATATGCAGGTTCAGAGGGAGTAACTTGCCCAAGTCCTCTCATACCAAAGCCAGTACCTTTTCAGACCCCACTTCGGTCTCCCCAGATCCCACTACTCTGCAGAGGGAGGCCCTGAGGGGCTCATCCAACCTCTTCTAGCACAACTGTCTTCAGGTGTGGAATTGAAAAGTCACCATTCAAGTTTATTTACTGCTTAAAAAATTCTACACCCAGCATCTCCTGATTTAAAATCTTTACTGCCACCCAGTGGGCATGATGTAGTTTAAAAACATGAAGAAAAGGTTCAGTTCAACTTGTATTAAAGAACCATCAATTCATCGTAAACCCATGTGTTCTCCTGATCTTTAAAAACTGTGTTTGGGGCCCTTCCTAGTGGTGCACCAGGTTAAAGCGGAGCACTGTGAAGCTGTCCGTAGCCACTGCAGCATGAGTTTGTTCCCTGGCCAGGGAGCTGACCCAATGGCACAGCAGACCTCTCCTGGCCCGCCTGCTGCTCCCCTCAGCAGTGTATTTCAGTAGATCTGCCTGTTCTGCTCCCCACTCTGTCTCTGGTGATTCCTCTCACCTCTGCACCTCTGGTCTGACTACAGTTCTTGTATGCAGAAATAAATACATCTTTTTTTAAAAAAATTGTGTTTATAAACAAATACCATGGGTTCCCACTTTTCTTTACAAGAAACTACCAGGTGTGAAATACCGGGATTTAAGAAAAAAAGCTTTATTACTTGAAATCATAAAATACATACTCAGTTTATAATGGACAATACTCAAAGAAATTATAAGTTCAAATATGCATATATCATATGTTTTAAACTTCATTTGCATTCTCATCGTTAAAAAAATAATTCAAATAACAGAGGATGTAAAATAAAAAGTAGTCTTCCTTCATAGATGAAATTGCCTACGAGTTTCTTAGGATTTCTTTTCAAGAAATGTCCTCTTCATAGACATGTGTGCAAACACACACCTAGGCATTTCTTTACTTTTCTAGGAATGAAATTGTGCTATTCATGTCATTACAGTCAGCTTTTTTACTTTGTTATGTCAGTAAACAAATCTGCTTTGCTTGTTTTAATAGCACATAGCATTCCATTATTGACTATGCTATAATTGATTCAACTAGTTCCTCATGAGTGGGCATAGAGGTTATTTTCTGTTTTGTCATCACAAAAGTGCTGCAGGGAATGCACGTATATTCTCCAGCAACTCTCCTTGTGCACATGAACATGTGCAAATTTATTTGAAAGGGAAAAATCTTAGATGTGAAATTACCACATCTAAAGTTAAGCTGGTACCCACTAGCCAGCAAGTACCAGAAACACACATCTGTAGCCCCTCCTCCTCTGTCCCTCCCCCCTGCCCCCTCCATCCAATATTCCCACCCCCATCCCCACTTCCCTCCAGGGAATGTGAGCCCTCTCTGGAAGCCAGCTGCAAGACTTGATAGGGTTCATGCTTGCTCTTGCTGAGTAATTAGGGATCTCCTCAGGGATTGTTGGCAGTTCTGAAATGGGTTTTGTCAAGAAACAGGAGCAGTAGGTAGTTGGATCTCTTTCTAAACTTCTAGGAGAGTAAATGCAAGTTGGGTGGGAAGCGTCATTAGCAAAGGAGCAGCAGTTGTGAGTGTGCTCAGAAGAGCAGGCGCTTAACCTTTTTGTCTGTCCAGTTACCTTGTCTCTGCCCTGTTCAAAATGGCCTCGCCTGGACATTGCTTCATTCCAGCGGTGCTTCATGTGAGCCCTTGAGGGCATCACAGCTCACCGGCCAGATGTGCTCTTTCATTCTTCCAGCATGTTGATTTACAACATCTACAAATGTTTAAGTTGCTTTCTAAAATGTTTGCACCAATTTACACTCTTCTGACTTCTCTTAAATACTCCACTTCCTTAACAATGAAATTTTGAATCATCAGAATAATGATGGCAGTTATAGGCAGGTACAATAGCTGATGTTTATAGAACCACTTCCTACGTGCCAACTACCTGTTAAATTGTTATTTCATCGAATCCATGAGGCTTGGGACATGTGCTGACAGCACTCCTGCTGCCACAGGAAAACAGGACTCAGAAAGGAGCGGAACTACCTGGGTCACGTGGCCAGATAACCGGGAGCTCAGCCTCGGCCCCACTTTCCACTGTAATGGAATACTGTCTCCTTTCTCTGCTGCCTAGGAGTCCGCCAAGTAGAATTTAAAACGAAGGAATTAAGAGTCATATAGTTGATGATCATGAATCCTAGAAAGGCTGGTTTATGATGATAAGGAAGTAGAGTCCTGTTTACAAAAAATAAGCCTTCCAGAAACTACACACATCGTGTTGAGCGAGGCATCCAGCGTGAGGTGCTTAGCTTCTCACGTGAGCCTTCAATTAATAAAAGGCCCGTGAGAGCTTGCTTAAACTCACAGCCAAGACACTATAATCAATTCTTCCCTGGGCCTACTGGAGCACAGAGGCTGATTAGATAACCACCAAGGAAATAAACAGGTGAAGGCCCTCCATCCCCTTGGGCCCACTGAGGCCTGTGAAGTTTCCATGCTGTGTGGGAACGAGGCCTGGGAAGATTCTGTGCCAGGAAGGAAAGCGGACGCAATGCGTGCGCCTAAGTAAATATTTATTAAGGGTGTAATGGGTGCACATGGGGGTTCAGTGTGAGCCCGCTTGTTTGCATTTAGCAAAACAACTCCCAGAAAACATGTAGTAACTACCACCTACTGCTCTTTCCAGACTGTGCTGGCTGTGGAAGGGACATCAAGAACGGGCAGGCCCTGCTGGCGCTGGAGAAGCAGTGGCACTTGGGATGCTTTAAATGCAAGGCCTGCGGGAAGGTCCTCACCGGGGAGTACATCAGCAAGTAAGCCTGGGCCGGGGAGGGCCCTGGGAGGGCCCTACAGACCAGCTCACCCTTCCCTCAGGCATAATGGAAGGCAATTGCGTCCAACTGTCCTTAGAAACTTTGGGCTTCCACATTTGTGAAAAGAATTTCATTCTTCTACTTTGGCCACAGTCTGCCTTTGTAGTGAAATGCTAATCATTACCTATTTGATTATTTTCCCTCAAATTGTATTCATTTGCTGGTCCTGTACCTAGCTGCATACTCCGGGAGCACAGCTTCATCCCACCAAGTGTGCCCACACCTCGCCACCTCCAGCACTCCAGGGTCCGTCCCCTCCCTCCCCTCCTCATCATCCTCTCCCCTCCCCTCCCCCCTCATCTTCTCCCCTCTCTTCCCCCTCTCACCCTCTCCCTTCCCCATCCCCATGGATTCCTCACAGAGTCCAAGAATTATTTTTGCTTTGTTTTAGCTGTTATTTATACTACTCAGCTAATTTCAAAAGGTGAAATAGTGTCTGTTAGGACAACATGGCTGGATCTTGAGGTGATTATGCTAATGGAAAAAGTGAGAAGGTGAAAATATTGGGCACTTCACTCAATACATCGCTTAATTTTACAATAAACTTGGCTAACATAATGTTGTCACCCATTATGCATTTCGTAAGTTCACTTTCACTATATTTTGTCCTTACTTAGAGCTAGTCTTCCTTCCAGATGTTGAACATATTTTTAGACCCCACAGAGGGTCTGGGCACGAATCTGTTAGGAACACTTACAAAGCAGCCTGCATGGCATGGCGGTTGAGGTTGGGGCCCAGTGCTGGCCTGGGCCCATCTAAAACTAGATTTAGAGTGACGAGGGCAGATGGAGCATACAGGATCCAGGGCAGTGAGGGGAAATTTCCCCTCTGTACCGTTTTATGCTTTAAAAAATGTTGTCCAATCGGGGAATTATATCCCCTATTCAAAGTAAACCAGTTTAATTTAGACATACAGTGAAACAGAACAGGAGCTTGGAATCACTCCCTAGAAATCTAAGTGGGATGACGGTGAACCTGTAACACCTGTATCCAAAGGAGAAAACGCCACAGATGGTTCTAATACAACCAGAGGTAGATGAGAGAAATACCAGGCTCACACTAACCCCGCAGACTGTGCCACAGCAGTAGCTGAGGCGTCGAGAGCGGTTCTCTCTAACTCCTTGAGATGAAGTTGACACACTTAGGTACTGAGTTAAACGGACAAGAATCCAGGAGCCAGGCTTCCGGGGCTGAGGTGGTGGTGCCTCGGGGCTGCCACCGGACTCTGTGTGAGCTCCGGGTGTGTGAGGGAAGGAAGCCTTGGGCCTCCCCACAGGAAGAAAAACACTGAAGCCACATCTGAAGCTCTTCTGGGCTCGTGACAGACTGCAGTGCCAGGGTTTTGCTAGTCACACCTGAGACAAACACGGAATCGGCGATTGTAACCACCCGGCGGTTGAGCTGTTATTCCGTGAGACAGTTCCTCTCACTGTCCAGATCACTGGCTTTCGTGGCTTTGGATCACATTTCACCAACTCTCCAAACTTGTGAGTGCTGAGGCGGAGTGTGTCTCCTCCGGGGAGCTGAGCTTGTTCTGTCTTGCAGGGATGGTGCTCCGTACTGTGAAAAGGACTACCAGGGGCTCTTCGGCGTGAAGTGTGAAGCCTGCCACCAGTTCATCACAGGGAAGGTCCTGGAGGTGAGTGGCGGACGGGCTCCCTCGGAGCCGCACCCTTTTCCTCAGAGGCCTTCAGAAACACACACATGTCTCTGTCCATTTATCCCCGTCTTCTTCTCACCTGTGGAGGAAAGTAGTAGCCAAGGACAAATCGTTCGGAGAATTCACCTGTGCTGTCTCCTCAAGTTCCTACCAACTGTTTATGTGAGAATTGGTTTGATGGAGAACTTGAGGGGAAAAAAGAACGACGGGGTGACCAGGAATCATGGGGAGAGAAGGGTTACGCTGACTGTACACTTAGAAGTCAGAAAAGAGGAGACAAAGGGCGCGGGAGCCTCTCGCGCACACGTGTTTCCACACGAGCCTGCCGCACGCTTGTGTGTGGAGGGGAGGACTCGCTTGTGTGTGGAGGGGAGGACTCGGTGGCTGCGCTCGTGTGCATGTCTGTGTCCGCGTGTCTGTGTGGGAGGCGCAGACTCAGGGAGCAGAGGCTCACAACTGAAGCTAAGAAAGGGCGACCGGAAGGTGGAAGCGTGGACTCCCCGCCCTCAGAAAGCCACATCCTGTGTGACTGAGACACCCTGTGGCCTGGCTGAGCTGAAGCCTGTCAAGTTCAGGTGTGACTGCTCGACCCCAGAGCTGCTTCCTGATTCCTCAGCAGAGGCCCCACCAGGGCCTGCCTCGGGGCGGAGCCCAGCTCCCCTTGGGTTAGAGGTCAATTGTGGAGCCCAAGTTCAGGCCACCGCTGCCCCACTTCTCACAGGCCTGTGGGCTGTGGGCCAGCACCAGTGAAAATGCCCTGATTGCCTCACAGCATCCACCCTCCAGGCTGGAGGACGTGTGCTGAGCAGGGTGAGGCAGGGTGCCAGGCCGGGAAGGCGGCTCACCAACTGCAGCCTTATCCCATGACTTCAGCAGACGCAGGTGCAAATCCACAGCCGTGTTCAGACCTCCACAGGTTTAGGGAGTAACCTCAGACTGTGCCCTGCAGTAAAACTCTGTCTCCTCTGTTGCATCTCAATAGTCATGAGCCCTGCCCATCACACTGGCTGGAGAGCAGGAGCCTCCTGTCAGGGGAGCCTTCCAGGGCTTGGGGAGTTAGGAGCCCACTCTTGACTGGAACTGACAGCTGGGCAAGTGTCTCAAATTATTATTATTATTTTAAGATTTATTTATGCTCACAGGACTGGGGTACAGGCCAGAGGTGTGGTAGATGAGAGGATTCATCAGAGATAGAGTAGGGAGCAGAACAGGCAGATCCGTGAAAATACCCTGCTGAGGGAAGCCGTGGGCGGGTCAGGAGAGGTCTGCCACACCATGTGGGTCAGCTCCTTGGCTGGGGATCGAACTTGTGCTGCAGTGGCTTCGGAGAGCTTCATAATGTGGTGCTTTTAACTGTTGTGCCACCAGGGAGAGCCAAGTCTCTCAAATTATTAAAGCCTTGGTTTGCCCATAAATATAAACATTAAAAGTTCTATCTGTAAATGACAGCTTTGGACCTCTGTACTCCGGAATCTCAGCTGAGGAGCTGAGTCCTATCATTCTCATGTCTTGGCTCTCAGGGACCAGAGCCAGCCATTCTTTTTCTGGAGCAGTTTTCTAGAAACTTTCTTGTAACACTCAGCACATAGAATGCACTCAATTTATTTCTCATCAGCTTGCTTTGGGTTTTGTTCCTTTTTCTTTTTTATAGATCTTGCTATAAATAACACTTCTTTAAACGCTTATTCTAGTGAACCTGCAATTCACGAGAGTTCTGAAAATGTTTACAACCTGCCTCCTCACCACAAAGTCCAGAAGCAGTTAGTGTGAGCCACTCTAAATTGCATCTGCCTCCATTTCCACCTCCCATCTAACTTTTCTCAAGCAACTTTTCCTCCGCCTCTGCTCCCCTCAGAAGCTTCCCCTCCCCTTCTGGTTACCTAATGGTAACCAGAAGCTACCTGGTCTTCAGAGGGAGGACACAGACATCAGTGGACACTGGGCGTGTCCTTTTGCTGTGTCTTTGCTTCCAGAGGTGGACAGCCCTGGGCAGTGTCCCCACTCTAGAAACTTCCTCTCTTAGTGTCGGCTCTCTCCTGGGTACCTGCAATTTCACAAAGCAAGGTACTAGCTATAGATGGTTTCAAAATGAGGCAGTGTTGAAAAAAATAAAGGGGCAAACATTCTACTGAAAACAGAAGTTTTGAGCAGCAGAAAGGAAAAGGCCTACAATCTTAGGCTTTTCCAGCTGCTGACTAAGGGTGAGCTTGACTGCTCTTAGTCTCTGTTCTCTTGCACAATCCCTGCTCCCCAAGGCCTCTGTGTTTACCGGACTCTTTGCTGGCTCACTAGCCGTGCTCTCATCCATGGGCTCCTCCTGCATACAGCCTTCCCGGAACTGTGTGCTGGAGTCTTCCTCACTCCCCTGTGCTTCTCTCACAGGGACCCAGGAAAGTTCTAGGTGTACATTCTTAGCCACAGGATTAAGGTAGAACTTTGTTTTACTCTGAAGTCTCAGAGGTGATATCCTTTTCCCTTCTTCCTCATGTCACCACACCCAGAAAACCAACCCGCCTGTCCTGGGTGCTGGTCTTTCCAGAAAGACTGGTGGCACCTGCCTTTCTGTGGCCTGGTACTTCCTGTGCCCCTGATGCTCAGGCAGAAAGCTGTGATGGTTTGGCATGCACACCGCCACGTCAGAGAGACCCTCCTTTGCCACTCTCACCCCCACCCCAGTGCTGCCTTCCCCCCTACCCCCCAGCTGCTTCTCCCCACCCCCACAAGTATCACCTCTCCCAGTCTGTGCTGCCTCTCCCCTGTACCTGCCTGGGAACTGCCTGCTTCATCAGCTAACTTGGAGGAGCATGAAAGGACAGGACTTAGACCCTTTCTGCTGGACTCCTGCGGTGCAGGAAATGGGATCACAACATGAAGCATCCGAATCCTTTATGCCTCGATTCTTTGTGGGATCAAAAACAAGGGCTTTGTTTTGTTTTACTTGTTGAGTAAAACTGTCTTTTTACCATCCCAGGGACAAATGTTTATCCCATTCCTGGGCAGTGAACTCATGTGATTTGAGGCCCTGGTCCCTTCTTTCCTTGTGGTGTAAGCATTTTAACGTGTTTGGTTGTTAGGGCCACAAACAGTAAGTAGGTTTGTTCAGGACTAATCTGTTACCCCAGAGGATGATGGGTTATCCTAGGGCACCAGCGTGACATGTAATGTTTGATCACCATTGAAGATGTAATTTGCAATGGACTGAAATGCCAACCCCCCCCTAGATTGTTTTACCGATTTCATCATATACGTGCAGAGCAAGAATAATAACCCTGTGTTTGCAGAAAATGAGTTGCATTCTTCTCATTCCCACACTGCACAGCGGAATTCATATTTGCTTCCACTTAATTGTGGACCCAAATATTTTTGGAGATCAGGGCAGCAAAGGAGATTAAATCATCTTAGTAGTTTTGGTTGAGATAATCTGTCTCAGGGGACAGTGAACCTCCACCAAATCCTGCTTCTTTACTATTTGTAACATTTGCAAGAGACACATAACTATTTAACTCTCACAACAGGCCTGTAAAGTGTCAGCTACTTACTGCCAACCTACCTGCCTCAAGGTGAGGCGACAGAGCACTGTACGTCAGAAGCTAGTCACCAACAGTCAGGGTCAGGAGTCACGTGTGCCAGTTCTACAAAAAACAACCCTACCCTCTTTTCTCCCTCCTGTCTTGTCCTTCCTCCCCTGACCCTCCCTCTCTCCACCCTCTACTCTCCTCTCCTTTTCCTTCCCTCCTTCTCTCTCCTCTTCAGGATCTACCTGGCAGTAATCACTGCAGAAAACAATTTGTCTCCCAAAATAACTTGCTGAACAATGAAAATGTACCATTCCTGGGGAAAGGGTGAAAGGTTATCACATTAGTGGCCTGTTATACCTACTTGCAGAACAACTCCTATTTGCTGTTGGTTGATTTGCTTCTTCTCAGGTGTAAAATGGCAGTGGATGGACACGAGTGAGCCTGCCGAAAGCCCTCTGCAAGTCTGTGCAGTAAGGCCTTGAGGGATCGGGAACTCCTGAAATCCATGGAGACAGAAAGCAGGGGCTGGAAGGAGAGGAGAATGATTGCTAATGGGAATGGGATTTATTTGGGGGGGAATGCAGTGTTCTAGAACTAAGTAGTTGTACAGCTGTGTGACTATATGCCAGAATCCACTGAATTGCACACTTTAAAAGCATGACTTTTATAGTTTGGATTATATCTCAATTGAAATACAGACATAGATGTGTATATCAATGCAGAGGTAGGGACAGCGGGTGTCCCATTATTCTGAGTCTCCTTATCTGTAAAAGAGGATATTATCACTACTTCACAGGACTGCAGAATTGGGAGGGGGAGAGAAAAACACATGCAAAACCCAGGCTTATTTAGTTCCCTCCCTACCCTTCCACTCTTCTCTTCAATAAGTTGACCTTATTAGCTAGAACAATACAAGAATGAGCACTCAAGGCTATATGTGTGTGAAGGTAAGAGTATGTGATAGGCTTTTTCTCTCTGGAGCACTCAAACTTCTGCTTCTTTGCTTGGCCCCCACACAGAACTGTGTCCATGGTCACAAGCCTGTCCCAATTAATGGGGAAGCCTTCTCATGTGGGAAAGCACACTCAAGTTCAAGTTCATTGTGTAGGACTTTCAGTGCCTTGGAAGTGCGTGCGTTACCATCCTTCACACGCTAACTCATCTGAAGTGTTGTCAACCAGTGTTGCCTCAGTTAAAAGCCACAAGTTTGTATGTGTTTGGCTACAACATCTTATTTATGAAGAGTATCTGGGGTTCATATTTTGTCCCCTCCATCATTAGCCCACTGGGAATTGGCCCAGGAGGAACATAAGCACATCGCACAGTGAAAGATTTGAAGAAGCTCTGATTCACCCAGAATTACCCACTCGCTCCTACATTAACAGCAGAGGAAATGTGTTGCCAGGGTAACATAAGACTGTGCTCACAAGCAGTAAAGATTCAATATTTATGAAAACTCAC